GGGTTAATCCAGCGACCTTTAATGACCTTAATAACGTCTGCACCTTAACACGTAAGAAGAGTTTCTCCGTTAATCTAGGGTCAAGATAAACCGCTATATACAGTCAGACGTGGGTGGATTCATCTTCTGTTCATATACTTGTTTTCTGAAATGAAACAAAAAACTCCTTACAATATTATTATTTTATTATAATGCATAATGTTATAATTTTGTTTGCATGATCACAATATTTTAATCAATCAAATTTCTACCCTCTCCAGTGCGGGGATTTTGTGAGAGATTGAAGGTTAGTTAAAGAGGGGGTATCAGGTTAGATCAAAAGGTTATTTCTGACGAATGTTCAAGAGGCTTGTCTTTACATTCGAACTGAAGACGAAGTGGCTATAATCAGTGGCGGTTCATTGGAGGGCTCAGTGCCCCCACCCAAGCCCCCACCCCTTCCCACATTAATTTTTTTAATTCTTCATAGAAAAAATAACTCCTTAAAATTTCTTCCCAGTACCTAATGCTTTCTTGCAACACCACTGTTTTAAGTATTCAATAACAAACTCACTTTTTTCCTAATTTTTTACAGTCGTAAATCGTATCCGGAAGTCGAACATTTGTTGTTTCCGGTAGAAACACGAAGGTTAAGACCAGAGAAGTGAATGAAAATGCTGAATAAATGATAAATGGTGCTGCTTCTTTGAAATTTCCAGTTATACCTTGACTCTAAAAAAACAAAAAATAGAATTGATCTTTTCATAGGTTTATATTTTTGCTATGGTCGCAAAATATTTAGTGTCAAACACAATCTTTTGGGAAACTGCATTTTCAGACGTGAGTTAACATTACTTACAAAAGTATCAAAATTGCATACATCAAATCTACATTACACAATAAATATGTTGTCTAAATTTGATTAAGATCGACTGGTGTATTTTGCAGATAAGAAAAATGACATTTGTGCACCAATGACAATTGCAGAAAAAATACAAATCCTAAAGAGCATGATTCGTATATTTGTATTGCCGCTTTCCATTTCCTTTATACTTGGAAACAAAAAGGATAAGCATAAATAAACTAAGCATAAATCAGTCGAATTATCAGCGCCTGAAAATACGCATAACGTATAATTGCGACTATAATTCGCACGCACCCTTCTAAAACTCCAGTATATCTCCGAATATCTCCCTAAATAACGCGCACCATTGTCCTGACAAAATAAATCAACAAGTTGACATAACGCAGACACCATAATATCGTGTATATACCGATTATATATTTGAGATTTCAATAACATCAATGTGGATGTGATAATCATAATCAAATGGATTTAGGAAGCCATGTATCATAGTTTAACCACGGCGAATTTTTCCCGGTTATAGGTCTGTGGTAAACTTTTGCGACAAGGTATGTGGAGTCGCCATACTTACTATTAATCCAAAATACGGGGCTATAACAGCAGCTGTTCTACCTATACAAGAACTCGTGCCGACACCAAAATTACGGAGTTCTGTGGGGAAAAATTCACCTGTCCATAACCACCACAGACTGAAGGCAACATTTGTCCCAAACAATCCGACCATGGTGAATAGTGTCATCAACCATTGTTGATCTACAATTAATATCAGATAACAAAAATGAACAAAATATTTTCAGTGTTAAAATAGGGTTCAATACATCAATTGTAGGATGATATAGAAATATCACTATTAAAATAGTGCTCAATACATCAATTGTAGGGTGATATAGAAATACAAAAATTAAAATCCATTGGGATTGGTGGGAATTTTCTAAAAAGCATCTCTTCGCTCTACAATAACGTGAGCTGTTCGGTTCAAATTAACGCAGTCCAGACCAAGGTGTGAAACAAGGTGTGTCTTATCCCCAACTTTATTTTCCATTTACGCTAATGATCTCATCGGTGATATAAATGAGTTGAATTGTGGAATTGAAGTCGACGATGGAATGATTACAATTTTACTATATGCAGACGATATTGTGTTACTAGCACCGAACGAACTAAAGCTTCAAAAACTGATTGATAGGCTAAGCGTATGGTGTGAAAAATGGAGACTGTTAGTAAATCAAGACAAAACTAAGATTATTCATTTCCGAAATAAAAATGTTGTAAGGAGTAATGTCCCCTTTAAATGTGGTAATATTGACTTATTATATGCCGATGCATATACATATTTAGGGATTTAGATGAATGAATTTTCCGACTATTCTTTAAGTGCGAAACAGATAGCACTGGCAGCGAACAGAGCATTAGCTGTAATCAAAGTTAAACATTTTAGATGTGGTTGATTTTCCTATGATGTATTTACAAAATTATATGATTGTATGATTCGTCCAGTATTTACGTATATGCATCTGGAATATGGGGACTAATCAATCACAAGTGTATTAATGTATTAATAGTAGTAATGTAGCTGCAAGGGGGACACGGGTTGGTTGCAAGGGGATGATTTATTGAAATCGGAGGTTTTCCGGTTATGGAATAAAATTCAAAAGAGTGACCAGAGCAGTCTGACTAGGAAAGTGCACAATTGCGGTTTTCGCCGTAAATCATCTTGGGACAATCACGTCAATCGTATCATTCTCCCTTTGCCAAAATATATTCCACAGTCTATCTAAATTAACTAAGTCGAGGTCTGTATAAAACGATAAAAACAGGATATTTTTAACGTTATGGTTGAAAAATGTTCCCCTTGCTACGGGCCTGCTGTTAAAATAGAGCTCAATACATAGAATGTAGGGCAATATAGAAATACCACTGTTAAAATAATGCTCAATACATCAATTGTAGAGTGAAATAGAAATACCACTGTTAAAATAGTGCTCAATACATCAATTATAGAGTGATATAGAAATACCACTGTTAAAATAGTGCTCAATACATCAATTGTAGAGCAATACAGAAATACTACCACTTATCAGTGGCTCAACTATATAGGAACTGGTTGAACCAAGTCCACGGGCCCATCACCAAAGGGGTTCTCACTCCATAAAAAAGATGGATTTTTTTTTTTGAATCAAACTAAGCAACCAGCATTATATAAATGAGAGAAATAACATTAACTACAACATTACTTTTCACCATTCCAATCAGACGTCCGTGGTTCCTGGAATTCCACTAAAACAAAACGTTTTATGGTGTCACTAATCGCGAAGTCCTTGTGTGATACAGCATATTTTTCGATTAGTGACGTCATCCATCACTTAGTTTTTGTAGAATTGCAGGAACCATAGAGGTCTGATTGAATATTAGAATGGAGCAAATTGATGCATATAAAATGTTCCATTTACCATTTAAAGTATTTATGAAAGGAAATGAAATGGTCCACTTCAAACTTACAATTCAAACTTACAATTACCTGAGGATGCATACATGAGTATAAAAATAACAGACGTTAGACATAATCCACTGGTAAACAGGGATCCGAAGGCGAGGATTCTCCGTCCCACCTTGTCTCCTATAAATAACACCAGTATATAGCTGAGTCCTTCAAATATTCCCGTTAAAAATAGGTTTAGATAGACATTTCCTACCAAGGTATCGAGGTTTAACATAATACCATAATATAGTAGGCTAACGGTAAACCTAAAATAGACGAAAAAAAATATACAAGCCGTTGCCAAGTAACAAGCAACCACTTAATCAAATAATTTTCAACATTTGAAGGGCTGTAACTCGGCAATAGGTGTCGAATTTTATGGCTGGAACTCAGCAATAGGTGTCGAATTTTAGGCCTACAAAAATTCTAACTTGTTCCATTTTCCTTTAGCAACGGTGCGATATTATCCACATCTAACTGTTGCTTTCACAATCTCGTATTCTTGTATATTGATAATATACTACTATATACAACTACTAAAGGAACATGAACTTGTCCAAGATCTCTTGGTCTAAATCACGTTCACAGACTGGTTTGACCAAATCTGAATTTTGATCGATTTCATTCTGAACTTACCAAGTAAAGTACATCACAAGCGTCCTGGCGAGTAAAACAGGGGAGGTAAACATCTTCCAGAATCTAATTTTAGTAACAGTGTCTGGTGGTACAGTAGTGACATCTACAATATCATCAAGGAGCTTCACCTTATTACAAGCGGCCATTTTTTCTATGATGAGTTTGGCTCTGTCCGTTTTGCCTCTGGTTAACAACCACCGTGGACTCTCTGGTACTAAACTGTATTTAAACATAAAATAACATTATTAGCTGTGTGGACTCTCTGGTACTAAACTGTATTTAAACATAAAATAACATTATTAACTGTGTGGACTCTCTGGTATTATACTGTATTTAAACATAAAATAACATTATTAGCTGTGTGGACTCTCTGGTACTATACTGTATTTAAACATAAAATAACATTATTGGCTGTGTGGACTCTCTCGTATTATACTATATTTAAACATAAAATAACATCATTAGCTGTGTGGACTCTCTGGTAATATACTGTATTTAAACATAAAATAACATCATTAGCTGTGTGGACTTTCTGGTACTAAACTGTATTTAAACATAAAATAACATTATTAGCTGTGTGAACTCTCTGGTATTATACTTTATTTAAACAAAGAATAACATCATTAGCTGTGTGGACTCTCTGGTACTAAACTGTATTTAAACATATAATAACTTTATTAGCTGTGTGGACTCTCTGGTATTATACTGTATTTAAACATAAAATAACATTATTAGCTGTGTGGACTCTCTGGTAATATACTGTATTTAAACATAAAATAACATTATTAGCCGTGTGAACTCTCTGGTATTATACTGTATTTAAACATAAAATAACATTATTAACTGTGTGGACTCTCTGATATTATACTGTATTTAAACATAAAATAACATTATTAGCTGTGTGGACTCTCTGGTACTAAACTGTATTTAAACATAAAATAACATTATTAGCTGTGTGGACTCTCTGGTATTAAACTGTATTTAAACATAAAATAACATTATTAGCTGTGTGGACTCTCTGGTATTAAACTGTATTTAAACATAAAATAACATTATTAGCCGTGTGGACTCTCTGGTATTATACTGTATTTAAACATAAATAACATTATTAGCTGTGTGGACTCTCTGGTATTATACTGTATTTAAACATAAAATAACATTATTAGCTGTGTGGACTCTCTGGTATTATACTGTATTTAACCATAAAATAACATTATTAGCTGTGTGGACTCTCTGGTATA